AATGCGATTGATTTTCAACATTGCTGATTTTTAAAAATACGCTTAATCCTGTCGAGCAAGAGATATTCGATGTCTCTCTCTTTTAATCTTCTCCTCGTTAAAATTCAACAGAAGTAAGTAATATTTTTTTACGGAGTTGAAAAAAGGTTGTAAGACATTCAGACGATCGTAACGAGTTATCATTCTTATGGTAGCGTTATCGCTTCACAGCGGTAGAGAGGGCTAGCGGGAGAGACAAATGGCGAACATTCTTTGCAACAACGTCGTTAATTTTTAAGATTACTTCAACGTCCAAGTGTACGGTCGAGAGGCTCTTCTTGAAGCTGAAGGGGTAGATCCGGCGGTAATTAGGCTTGTAAAATATTGTATAACTATCGAACCATCGTGTCACGATGGAAAGGATAAAAAAAAAAAAAAAAAAAGAAATATTGAAATTTAAAAGAGATTAGAGAGAGTTTGGAAGATATATATGTCCGTAATTTTTAAACGAGATAAAAGAAGGAATAATAATAGAGGAAATGTAACGGAGAAAATTAATCTTGGAAGAGGTACGCTTGGAATTGGAGATGCTCGATCGAAGGCGGCGCGAAACGCATGCGATATTCAACGAGTATCGAGAAAATGCAGCCCCGGGACGTCCGTGCAACAGTTTTTCTTTCCAAACAACCTCGAGTGTATTTCAGTCTGCTTGGAATACAATAAAAGAGGCAAGATCTTGGTTGGTCATCGCTTTAAAACAATAGCCCAGACGGCAAGCCAAGAAAAATGCAAGAGAGAATTTTTAAGACGCTCTCGAAAGTACGCGACACTTTATGACCGATCGATACCTTTCGTTTTTTATCTTACTTCTGGAAAAAAAGTCGAGGAACAACTCGTTCGTTCGATCGAGAGAAAAAGAATTCTATTTTCGATTATTTCGTCGAAATGAAATTAAAGAAAAAGAAAGCAAAAGAGGAAGAAAACACGTTTACGTCAATCGGTTATGGAGATAATCCTCGAAACTTGTGTCTGGAAAGTGAACAAGCCTCGTGTAATCTAACAGAAGCAGAAAGCTGCATCGATCGGCATTTCTAAGGTCTGCGCATTATGGGGGTTCGTGCGGTCGGTCTAATGGTATTATCAACCCTTAAAGCTGGACTGCTTTCAGGTCATTGGCCACTCGGTCATCGGTATATTCTCCTCTCTTTTTCTCCTCCCTCTTTTTCTTTTTTTTTTTTTCCCTTCTCCATTCGCTTCACTCTTCTTAATTAACTTGGTTTCATTCGTGGAAATGAACACGAAAGCGCTCTAAAAATGGCACAACCCACACGTGCATGATACTATACACCGGTTCATTGTCACAAAGGGAGTTCATTGGCGTCACCCGTGCGTTACGTAGTGGAAGAGATAAGGTGGCAATAGAATCGCTCTTGAAAAAGCTCGATTCCAATTTTCTTGCAATTCTAAAAATACGACCGAGAATGTACGAGCCGTTACATATATATATACACACACACACGACGCCCAAGTGTCGAGTACGTTAATTAAGAAAATTTCTATCCCTATCGTTGTCAAATTACAACGAGGGAACGAACGAAGGAAACGTGGTCACGCGATCGAAAGCTCGACACGAGGAGGGGGTAAATTTTTCGCGAAAAAAATGTATCTTAACGATTTTTGACGATCCACGGTCCAAGAGTATCCATAAACGCCATTTATAATTCACGACTAAGATAATGACGTAAAACTTTTGTTTCGTCATAGAGAAAGAAAGAGAGAGAGAGAGAGTCGAAACATTTCCTTCGAATATCTCGAGTTCGTGACATCGATATAATATAAATATAATATAAACCGATGATTACGTACGAAACGATTTCCTGAAATTATGATGTCGAGAATTTGGAGAAATCGAAGAAACGGAAATGAAAAGTACAAAGAATAATTGATCCAATGGTATGGAAACTATTTTCCTTTTTTTCTCTCTCTTTCTCTTTCTGTTCACGTGACATTCCGTCAGACCAAAACGAACGGCATTAAGGTTCACCTACACCGAACCCGATCCCGATCTTAACGCAAAGTTGGCGTGCACCTTATCTGACGTCTAAGCCCCCGTTGAATTACGAAGCAAAGCAACAAAGGCTAGAACTTTGCCGTAAGTTTTTTACTTATCCACTTGTGGCCGCGCGTGTCGACAGTCAAGGTTGAGGTTGTTCTCTCTTTCCAAAACGATGCGAACTTGAGGACGATCGGAGGATAATTTCCGTATCTGTGTCTCTCTCTCTCTCTCTCTCTCCCTCGATCGAATTCACGCGTACAAGGTCAAAAGCTCCGGCTTCGCTTTCGAGGCTTTACCCGGCACGCGACCGAAATTTCAGAATATTTTAAAAAGATCCCTCCCCTCCCCTCCACTGACATTATTCTACCGATAATCTACCGATTCGGTGCAGTCATTAATGATACCTGGTTATTAGGGTCGCGCGGTTTAACCGAATATCGCGATAGGGGGTTGAAAAATTCCAAGGCCTCCCCGATCGTCGTTTACCGGCACGCGAGTGAACGGGTCCGAAACATATTCCATATTCTCGTGTTTTTTCCCCTCCAACGTTTCGTGACCGAGGTTTTGGGCGTGGTGCATCTCCAACCTCGCCTCCCCTTAGCACAATAATTCCTTCCTTCTCTTCGATTTAACGGGTTAAATCGGGCGGATTAATATTGCCGGATCGAACATCCGGGATATTCCTGTCGTATCGTTGCTGATAAGGGGGGAGGAAGACGAGGAAGGGAGGTCGTAAATCAGAGCAGTGACGGTGCGCGGTTAAATGGATTCGAGAGATTCCGGTTTAGGTGGGACCAGAAATGTTGGCCATAGCGGCCATACCGAGTATAACCGAGGCCAGCCGAATTCGCGTGGATCCGCGTGGCCCCGTGGCGGCGTGAATATCGTCGGTTGGCAGCCATCCTGACAGGGATGATACTTTTTCCATTTTCATTTTCCCCGAGCACTGCCAAATCTGCGAGTGACCTACTACCACTACCACTCGTCTCCGCTGGATGGAGGCAATTTTCGAAGGTGACCCCTTCGATAATTGTCCACGGATGTAGAAACTTATTCGGCTATTAAAACACAGGGGGAATAAATTAGCCTCGTAGAGGCTATTGGGCGTGAGTTCAAGAGGACGGGATCAAATCCTATCAAT